CCACGACTGCATTACCAATACCATTTAGTACTAAAAAGAACCAGTAAATAATTCCCTAGTATATATTAAATTTAATCTAACATATATATATTATAATGATCTTCTTCTTTCTTATCTCCACTCAATCATATTAGGGTATCATGTTGTGACCCTTGATGGTGTCTGTTTGACAACCATCATGACTGGGTGAAGTAGAATAGCTTTGTCATTAAGACTGGGAGCACTACTCAGTAGCAGGTCGACTTAGCTCCAATAGAAATGGCCGCCTCTGACATGAGGAACAGACGCCATGTGCACTACTCCTAACATGGAGTACAAACGCTGCTCATCCTGTATCCCTGGATTAGGAGCCCTTACAGGGTACTATCAGCCGGGCCAGCTGAGCCCAGATTTTTTAGTTAGCTTGTTACTGCTCCCCCTCCTCCTTTTTCATCCGGGCTTGGGACCGGCAAAGGCGGAGTTTATTATAATGTTAAATTTGTTCGATATAGAATTTTCTTAGGTTGTTTAAGGATACATAAGTATGTTTGTGATATTGCAGTCGCGGTAATAAGCCTTAATTAGCTTTAATTGATATTATGGAATATAAAATACATATTTTGAGAAAGTACTACCTTACTCAAGGCTTTAAGAAGAAAATAAAAGATTACATATTTACATATAGATGGAAATTTTGCCGGGAGGAAATTGATCTAAAGAGACAAGGGTCGCCTCTCCCGCAAAATAGACGTCTAAAAACAGACGCCATGGCTTTGTCACCGACCCGAGGCCGCTAGTTACGGCGACGGTCAATAGATGGCGTCTGGTTTTAGACGTCTATTTTGCGGGAGAGGCGACCCTTGTCTCTTTATATTTACATATGAACAAAAAGATTTGAGCCGGCCAACGGGAAACAACAGCAATGGGTTTATGTAAGAAAAGTCGCGATATCTGGCGGTCTAATCTACGAAGTAATTTGTTATAGAGCAATATAATTTTAAATTAAATATTTTTATATATCACACACACACACACACATATATATATATTAATCACCAATTTTTTGGTCGTTGAGGTACAGCTTGCACCACGCTGATGAGGGCCAACAGCCCGAAACGCGTCCGTGGTTAGCTTTTCTTGATTAATCAAGAATGGGTATTTGGCCAATTCTGGAATAATTAAAAATCAATGAGAATAGTTGATATTTATTCCTATAGATGGCGCCAGCCATCAGCAACTTTCAGTTGCACGATAAGGAGATGCCTTTTTCTTAATATATATATATATATATTTTAAAAAATGGCATATCCTGACAAGGAGCACATGTGCTTTACAGAAGGCAGAGCGCCATCTGGCGGAACAGAAATCAACTAAACATTGTGCTCCTGGTCAGGATATGCCATTTTTAATTTTGATTTCAATACCTGATCTTTTTATCTTTTATTTTTTTCTTTCGTTTTTTAATATATATATATATAGAAAAAATAAAATCTCTACCATTTAAAGAATAATAAATAAAACGGCTTTCACAAGGATGAGCTTTCTCAAACACTATAAATAATTTGTATTTATTTTGAAACTATGTACATAAAATATTTTGATCATTTGCAAGCAAATATTTATATAGAAATTAGCTTGTCTTTTAAAATAAATAAATATATATATATACGTGTATATATTTTGTAAATAGAGCAATCCATAGATAAATCTTTAATTAAAAAGACATATAATGGATCATAATATCATTTATTTTACCAATATTTTGATCCAATATATTACTTTATATTATAAATATATATTATATAAAAAATAATTAGATTTCTGTTGAATTATGATTATCACACACACACACACACAGAGCTATATAGAATTAATACTTGATGCTGATTATTTCGAGAATAGAGATATTTGTTGAGCAGTCGTGGCATAAATATTGAAAGAATAATAATAAATATGGTTTTGATCAGAGGTTGCTTTAATTGAGCTAAGGAATATATAAAATACATAATTTGATAAAAGTACTGCCTGGCTTAAGGCGTAAAAATTATAAAAATGAAAAGCTTATTTACATAATGTACAAAAGTTTTGCGCCGGCCATTGGGGAACAACAACAATGAGTTTTTATAGGGTAAGCGTGACCTCTGGCGGTCGATTTAACAGAGTATTTGTATCAATGAAATATAATTTTAAAAATAAAATAATATTTTTATATAACATATATATATATAAATCAATAAAGAATCATATTGGTGGAGTAAGCCAACCACAATTCTAGTAAAATATATTCGATTAATTTTTCCATGTCTAAACACACATACACACACATAAAGATGGAAATTTTGACGGAAGGAAATTGATCTAAAGAAACATGGGTCGCCTCTCCCGTCAAAATAAACGTCAAAACTAGACGCCATCTATTGACCGTCGCCGCAAACTAGCGGCCCCGGGTCAGGGACAAAGCCACAACACCAGCTTTGGCAAACTGAGAAGCGTCCACCTAGAGACCATGGTTTCGGGCTAATGTCCCTCGTTAGTCTAGGGCGTACTTTATTCCATGAGATCCACAAAGGATCTAATGGAATCCTAACATTCTGCCAAAGAGGTGTTTAGCTGGCAAAATGGCTGGGCCAAATATATAGCTAATTATAGATGGACTAGTTCTGACGTTTAGTTTGACGGGAGAGGTGCCCTATGCTTCTTTACATATACACCCATACCTCGCTTTGCGTCGGGGTTACGTTCCAAAAAAACACGACGCAAATTGAAACGACGCAAAGTGAAAATAAAATTTCGATGGCATGGCGCAATCAAAAACAAAGGTGTTGCCATATTTTAGGAAAAAAATTAAAGACTCGAATCCAAAACAACGCAACTTCGAACATCTAACGACGCACAGTGAAAATCAGTAAAAATTAAGCAGCGACGCAACTTTGAAAAAAACGCAAAACGAAACGACGCAAAGCGAGGTATTGGTGTATATATATTAGATAGTAAAAAGGCATATATTGAATTGAATAAAATATTCATTTGCCAATATTTCGGTTGGCTGAACGCCAACCTTTATCGAGGCAATAAATTTTTCATTCAATCCAATATATGACTTTTTACTATCTAGTGATTTAAGTATGGAGGATTGCTCTATTTTCATAAATATATAAATATATGTGAAAAATCAACGAGAATAGTTGTTATTTATTCCGATAGATGGCGCAAGCCATCAGCAACTTTCAGTTGCCTGATAAGGAGATGCCTTTTTTCATAAATATAAATATATGTTATATTAAAATATATATTTTATTTTAAATTATATGTTATAGAACAATATTGTGATGTTGACCGCCAGATAGCGCCGCTTTAAACTATATAAATCTATTGTTGTTGTTTTCTTTTGGCCGGCACCTTTTGTAAATATGTAACTAGGTAATCAATTATTTAATTTTCTTCTTCACGTCTCAAGTCATATATTTCTTCTTCAAAATTTTCATCACCTCAATCTTAAAGCAAAGATTATTTAAAGTTGTTTTACCAGGTCTATTAGTATGAAACGCGAAAATGGCCGCCAGAGGGCGCTGTGCAACTTTATTTGAGCCGACGGTGGCGCTGTTGAAGACGTTTAGTTTTTTTTACTCACGTGGCATCAGCACGCGTGCAGTTTTAGAAAAATTCAAATCGTGGAAAATTTCTGGAGCCCGTGGAAAATGGCGATTTCTGAGCCAAAAAAGTGCCCATTTGCGGGAAGTTTTGTTGTTCGCCTTCAACTGGAAGAAAAGTGCCACTGAAGCCCACCGAATGCTCAAGGAAGTTTACGGCGACCACGTTCTGAGCAAATCGCAGTGTTATAGCTGGTTTAAAAAATTCCAAAGTGGCGATTTCGAACTTGATAATGAACCACGTGGAAAACCGCCCCAAAAGTTCGAGGACGCTGAACTGCAAGCTTTGTTGGATGAGGACAGTACCCAAACGCAGGAGAAACTCGCGAAACAGATCCAGGTGTCTCAAGGTGCTGTTTCCCTACGTTTAAACAGCCTCGGAATGACCCAAAAGCTTTCCAGATGGGTCCCCCACGAGTTGAGCAAAAGGCAGCAAGAACGGCGTCTAGTAACCTGCGAAGGGCTGCTCGCCAGGCATGAAAAGAAGTCTTTTTTGCACCGAATCGTAACTTCTGATGAGAAATGGATCCACTTCAGCAATCCTACGCGCCTAAAGTCGTGGGGCCTGCCCGGCCAATTTCCAAAACAGACGCCTAGGCCCAATCGCTTCGGAAAAAAGGCAATGCTTTGCGTATGGTGGGACCAGAACGGCGTAGTATATTTCGAGCTCCTGAAACCTGGCGAAACGGTCAATACTAGTCGCTACGAACAACAAATACACAGTTTGAAAAGGGCGTTGAATGAAAAAAGACCGGAATGGCGTGAAAAGCACAACAAGCTGATACTGCAGCATGACAACGCTCCAACCCACAACGCTACGGTGGTCAAAAACGCCATAAAAGACTTGGGCTGGGAACTCTTACCCCACCCGCCGTACTCACCAGACTTAGCGCCGTCGGACTACCACCTTTTCACATCTTTAGGACACGCCGTAAAAAACCAGGAATTTTCGAACTCAGACATACTCCGAAAATGGCTTGTTGACTGGTTCGACTCAAAAGGAATAGAATTTTTCAGACAAGGAATTCGAAAATTGCCTGAAAGGTGGTCCGAGTGTATAGCTAATCAGGGCAATTACTTTGAATAAAAAAACTTTTGTTGTATGGAATTGGTGAACTTTTGAATTCACTGAAAATTTTCGCGTTTCATACTAATAGACCTGGTATATTATATTTCATAATATGTCACGACTGCATACCATTGGCATAATATACTTATTGTAAAACGACATTTAAAAATTATCCCGCATGAGTTTCTTTTCAATGAAAAATCAAAATTTATTTTGAGGAGAAACAACGACCATTTCCAACCTTTAAGATGAGGTATGAGAGGATGAATTGTGAAGAGTAATGATAAACGGAAAAATAAAAGTGTCCAGGGATGGGAATCGAACCCACAGTGTTCCCCGCTTACCGGGCAGATGCCATGTCCACTAGGCTACCTTAGACATATGTTTCCGTTCGTAAATAATACATAAAGTAATTTATAAATAAATTTTGATTTTTCTTTGAAAAAAAAAGAAACTCATGCGGGATAGTTTTTAAATGTCGTTTTACAATCACAAGCCGCATTATATTATTTTGTATTTATAATATACTTATATTCAAATAAGCTAATAATTCTATATCTCAGCAATATTATATGACACATATATGTGGAAAAAAATTTAAAATGGGTTGGCCTAATATCAGAGAAGAGGCTAAATTAACGTTTAGTTGATTTCTGTTCCACTAGATGGCGCCTTGCGTAGTTAGGATACTAGCCGAATGACCCGGGCAACCTCCGTGTTTTACCCGATTGAATGTTTTGTTTCAAATACTATTTGTTACAATTATAAATTGGCTCCTTAGATGTATGCATATATTAGTTAATAACTATAGCCTATGTGCTTTATCTGTCTATGTACTGTTGGCTTCCGTAGGCGTCTCTTACAGGGAAAAAGAAAGAGAGGATTCCATTTAGTTATTAACTAATATATGCATTTATTTAAGGAGCGTCCCGCTCCAACACAATAGTTACAACAACCAAAGAGCGAGTGGGGGGGGGGCAAAGTCAAACACAAAGTGTCTCGCGTAGTGGCGGCGCCATCGTAGCCACGTGATCGTAGCCAACCAATAGGAGAGCGCCATTCCAAAAAAAAAAAGCAAACGGTGACAGAGATGGAGAATTGAAGAATGACGCATGACGCTCGTAACTGTATATAGAATGCCTTTTTTTGATACATATACAGTTAAACCTGTCTATAGCGCTCCCTCTTGGGACTCACCAAAATAGGGTGCTTATAGAGAGAGTGGCTATAGACAGGTCACTTTCAATGTAAAATATTCACATTTTAATGTTTAAATTCGGAGGCTATAGAGAGGAAGGCGCTATTTAGATGGGGCGCTATAGACAGGTTTAACTGCATATCAATAAACATGACTGATAAAGTTACGAAAAAAAGCAAAAAGTATAAAGTCTTTAATTGCAAATTACAAACAAATATTTCAAAAAACAAAATATATTTAAAGAATAATTAAAATACTCTGTGTGGTACTGTAAATTGATGATCCGTTTAATCCAATGATTTGTCTCTTTGATACTCCAGGGGGGGCGAGTTTAATCCCAATTCTGATTGGACCATCCACAAATCTAATTTGCATAATTTATGAAGCACTATCATATTTGCTCGGCATGGAGGAACATGAATATTTGATCTGGCCTCAATGGCGGACCATCTTTCATGGTCGTCTGCGCCAATTCATTAGGGTGGGTCGGCTGCAAAAGAATTATCGTCCTATCATCATCATCTTATTTCATAACATAGCTGCATATTGGCAGTGATCTACATAATGCAGTTTCTTTGTGATAAATATACTGTTTTAATCGTAGATTTTATTTTAGCATGATTTTCATACATATTAATGAACATACGAATCTTTTGGCTTTATTTATTTGTATTTATTTAATTTATTTTATTTTTTATCACAGTTTTTCATGACCTTTAATGCAATAATTTGACAAGTATTTAATGGCTTTGTATATATTTTATATAAAAAATAGACACTTCGGCCAGTTGGAGTTTTTTATTTTCTCAACGTTTCGACAAAAATATTTTGTCTTCGTCAGGAGAAGTAAATAAAAATAAAGCATTTGGCAAGGTGTTAAAACAATTTTTAACGCCTTGCCAAATGCTTTATTTTTATTTACTTCTCCTGACGAAGACAAAATATTTTTGTCGAAACGTTGAGAAAATAAAAAACTCCAACTGGCCGAAGTGTCCATTTTTTATATAAATATGAATGCCGGCCAGGCAGCCTCTATCTTTACGATATATATTTTTGTTAATTATATCATTTATCAATTAAAATTTATTTTGATATAAGCAATATAAAATCTAATTTCTTCCAGATATCTCCAATATAAAAGAAGCGTATGCAGAAAAAATAATACATTTATTTATATAATTAAATGTCAACAATTCAGTATTATCATTTTCAACTCTTGTTGACAGAGCTCATCAGTAATAACCCCTAGTGCTGCTTTTTTCAAGAAGAAAACTCTGTAAAGTATTATTTTAACAAATTAAAACATTAAGACACGAATGTTTATTTTTCACAAATAAATAAAACTTCTACTGTCCTTTCTGCGATGAAAAAATATTGGGAGGGCCTGGTTCATCAGTAGTGAACCCTCCCAACGGTTTCACCAATTTAATCTACCAGACCGCTTCTTTAGATCTCTAATACTGTATTGGATCATTCTAATTTTATAGGCAAACTGAATGATGTAAATATATTCGGGGATCATCCTTTGGCAAAACAGCTCCAAATTGATTCAAATTCACGAGTTTTCCCTCTTATTTTTAAAAGGCTTTACGCCGCAAATTCAAAGTTATATCTTGAGGCAGAGCTTCTCATCGACTTTATAAAATGAATTAATCATACTTCTAGATGCGCAAAGTTCAAATTTACTTCTAACTTGAAATTGGAGTTCTCGGCGACAATGAAGGGTGGAATCTTAGAAATGATATTTTGACACAAAGTTGACGACCATAAAACAATATGTAAATAGGATAACGGATCAATCAATAGCAAGGTATCAATTTAATATGCAACTCAGTCCTCCCTGCTTTATATTATGTTGTTGTTGTTGTTGCTTATTCCTCAAATCGTTTAAACGATCTCCATTAGGTTTCATTGTCTCAGCTTTTCTATTATAGTCCTGGGGTTTACCCAGAGGTCTTTTTTGGAGGATTTGATACAGTTCAATAGATGTTCAGGACTGTCAGGCTGGGAATCGCATTTGGGGCATTTCGGGAATGTTTTGATTTTGCCCTTAAATTTGAGCATTCTAAGATGTCCCGTTTGTAATCTTGAAATCACCGTTTGTTCTTCCCTAGTAAGGGTGTGGAAAGAAGATTCGTTAGGAATGGGGGTATTTTGGGTGGATTTCCAGATTCTTCATATTACACATTTATTATATAGGGTTAACGTTTCAAACTTTGCTTCTAAATCTTGGTCTATGATTTGAACTAAATTAATCATTTAGCGCTTTTTATATTGTACCTTATTTGTTTCGGACATATCTCTTTTGGAAGGAAAGAAACAAAAATTAGTTAAATTTCAAACAATAAATGTCACTGAAAATTAATATTGTTCCCAATAATTAAAATTTCCAGAGATTCTTTCCATAATATGACAGAAGACATGCTTATCTCTCTATCTCTCTTAAAAGAATTCCTAAAACGACATATCAATCGAAATAAGTGCAAAAAATCTTTATTCGATAAAAATGGCAAGCTTTCAAGTGTTAGCTCATCATCAGGCCAATTGTTTCACAAATTCCTACAATATATTTTAACTGTATCTTTAACTCGCAATGAAGGAGGTATGAAATTCATCCGTTTGTCCTTAAGATTCAATTTCAAGTTACAACGCCATCTAGCAAGCTGAAGAGATTTGCGAAAGATAATTCTCTTGTAAAACGGCATTTGAAAATTATCCCACATGAGTTTCTTTTCAACGAAAAATCAAAATTTATTTTAAGGAAAAATAACGATTATTTCTAACCTTGGGGATTAGGTATGAACGGATGAATTGTGAAGAGTAATAATAAACGGAAAAATAAAAGTGTCCAGGGATGGGAACCGAACCCACAATGTTCCGCTTACCGGGCAGATGCTATGTCCACTAGGCTACCCTGGACATAGTTTTCCGTTCGTAAATAATACATAAAGTAATTTTTAATACAATATTATATAATGCGGCTTGTGATTGTAAAACGACATTTGATATTCTCTTGTATCTCTCTAGATGTTCAAGAGGCAACTCCATTTTAACTTAGGTTGTGGAATAATTGCAAAGGCTATATAAAACGATATATATGGCCTTTGCCCACTTCTCCCACCCATATTTTCAAGATATATTTTTTTCCAAATCCATATTTTTATTTTCCATAAGATTATTCAGATAATAATCTGTATATATTTACCATGTGTATATAATCTTTCTCCATTTTTACCCCTTTGTATATTTCCCACTTTCATGGGTTTCTCCGTCTTGTAACCCCAAGGAGAATCCTCTGTAAGACCTGTGTGTCTTAATAAAGGTTTTTGTGTGTGTGTATAGCCTTTGCAATTATTTCATAATCTAAGTTAAAAAATAATTTATATTTATAGAGTAACCTTATCACACTAAAACTAATGATCCTTAATTCTTTTTTTTTTTGTGTTACAAAGAATGTTGATTTAACCATCTCAATCCTTTAATCCAAATTTGCATATCTATCATCCCAGGCCTAACTGTCACACAATAAACTACACATCTCTGATTTCATCTCTAAATTGAAAGGAGAGAAAAGAAAGATTTCTCTTCCAACAATGTTGCCAGATAAAAACATCGTCTAAAGAATGAAATCACAGATAAAAAGAAGAAGTTGGCAACGCGGACAAAGGAGAGATTTTTCAAACCAGGGATTTATCTGGTGGCATTAGAAAATTACACCCAGCAACACTGGATAGATCACAGAGTATTTTCTCTCTCTCTTTTTGTAATCAATATAATCCTCAAATCTCTTCATACATTCTTTTATCCCGCCATTCTGTTTTTAGATCTCACTGAGTTTAATTAATTTATTTTATTATAATCTCTGGTCAGAGAGGTGTTGTTGTCGTGTCCAATGAAGAGCTTCAGATGTTTCCATAAATCTTTATCACAGAAGTAGCAATGTCCTCTATCTAGGATGTGTAGAGCTAATGTTTTGTGTCTATGTCAATTTTCTTCAATGCTGTGGCCATTGCTGGACATGAGAATATGTGAGTAGGTGTTACACCAGTTTTTCGATCTCACTGAGTTTAATTAATTTATTTTATTATGATCTCTGGTCAGAGAGGTGCTGTTGTCGTGTCCAATGAAGAGCTTCAGATGTTTCCACACAGACATACATCTTTATCACAGAAGTCGCAATG